AACCTTTGAGCAGAACCTCTCCTGGAATAACCCTATCTCCCAGATTACCCGAAAATCCATAACTGTTCTTAAACAACTCCTAAGATTCTGTGATAGTATTCCTCTAAAAACCAGACAGCTCCTTGTAACCTCCCTTATATTCCTCCACTTCGACTAGAGCTGCTTGGTGTATGGAGGGCTATCAGCCAGGATAGAAATGAGACTGAAGAAACTCATGAACTGTTTCAGAAGATATATCTTCAGGATCCCCAGGCGTTCTCATGTTTCATTCTGGTACACCAAGTTCAAGTGACTTTATTATACTTCCCAACGACAATTCCTCTTTGGGGTTTTCCTTTTCCAAGTCCTCAGAAGAAAAACCCTCCTTACATCCTGGAACTCCTTAATCTACGTTCCTCTATCCACTCTCTTAATACCAAGTCTCAACTTATAGATTTATATATTCTCTCCCATAAAACTTCTTCCTTCAGCAAATCCTTTGTCATTCATGCTACCTCCTTTTGGAACTCTCTTCCTACCTCCACACTTCAATCCTCTTCCACAAAGTCCTTCAAACAACTCCTGTTCCACCAACTACACCACATTCAAACTTCTGCAAACATGTAAAATTACTGGTAATTGAATTAATTTGGGGACCTGGATCTATCACCATTTTCAGGAATACCAATGACCAGAACTTAGAATGTGGTTTGAATTCTAATAAATAGCCTTTCTTTTTTATCATTAATAGCCGTAAGTCCTTCAGTACCCTTAGTAAAAATAAAAAATAAAAATTAAATTTTGATGAATAAATGAATGCAAAATAAATGCAAAGTGCAGCAAAGCAGGCTAAAACATGCAAGGATTAACAAAATCACTTAATTCCAGCAAGTCACTAAGTGTTCTTTCCTGAAAATTCCTGGAATCTAACTATGATTTTTCAACTTTTCAACACCCTGACATCCCCAAATATGTAACAAAACCATAAGAAACGATATAAGATATATTTTAAAAAATGAATAAATAAGCAAAAGACGAATTTTAACTAGGAAATAGAAGATTTTTACAAAAACTCATAACCTACCAGGCAATTTTCCTCCTTTTCTAAAAGTAGAAAATTGCCTAAGCAATTTGGTCCACCAGACAAGATTATTGTTTTTTTTTTTCTCATTATTAGCGATGTTGTTGTGTCTTTCAGTTAGGGATTCGCATATAATACCCATTTATTATATTATTATTATAAATGTTAATTTTGATGCCAAGGAATTAACATTTATATTGGATACATTCTTAAAGATTTATGTTAAGACACCAATAAGAATTATTAAATAAATAATTTTTAAAAAATATTGACGGGAAAATACATTTATATAGAAAAATAAATTGCATTTATTTCCCTGATTGTTAAATTCAAACAAGAAACATCGACGACATATAGGTGCTATTGTTTCAACTATTTGGTTAAAAAAGAATGCGAGAAATGTGTTTCTTTTAATTTCTAAGATTAAAAATTTAATTTGATAATAGCACCTAGTTTAAAATATAATAAAATTGTAACGAATTTTTTTTTTAATAAAAAGTAGTACTATCGACTATCGTCCATCCCTACTTTGAGTACCTAGTGGCAATGATCTGATCCTGAATGGTAACTGCAAAACCTTCTTTCTTATTATTATTATTGCCTACTTCCAGTGCTTAAATAATGAAACAACAAAACTCTAAAATGAAAAAAAATGATATATTTAAAACAAGATGAAAGAAACAGAAACAAACTAATGTTTGAACAAGCACTAAATTGTGTAAATAATTTGAGATCTGTAAATAACTTAATAAAGTTTAAATGTAAATAACTTGTTTTGGCGGGAATTGGCGAATAGCCTTCCGCTTTTTATCGGGGAACTAGGTTATTTAAACTCGTGACTATTAAAACAAAACCCCGGCACTGGATATAGACTTTTTGAGGGTGTTTAACTGTTGTTGGGAATTCGGGAATCTAATACCTTTTTGTGATACTGAGTGACAAGAAACAATAAGAATATATATATTGTAACGTTCCCTTCGTCAACATAAATCAAAACAAACGAGTTTCCTTTTTCAATACATTATTTATTTTACACATATAACATTAATCTCAAGTTGGGTTCTGACAACTGAACACTCTCACATTTAATAACTATAATTTACCAATTAATAAATACATATAAGAAACGAGATACGGTACTTCTCTGTTAGCGGGTAGAGTCCGACTGCTATCCTCCAATGTTTATAACCTTAACACTGATAAGCTCTTCGTATTCGTATATATTGTATTATATTCATTTTATTATGTGTTCGTATTCATATTGATTGTATTGTATTGATATTATTGAAATTGTGAACAAAAACAGAAAGAAATGTAATAATAAATGCTTTTATTTCACAACGTATATTTAAAAATACTTTTATTTCACAAGGTATATATTAAAATATACCAAAACATAAATATATTTAAAAACATAAATATATACCAAAACATATATATCGTAAAAACATAAATATATACCAAAACATAAATATATAATTAAAAAACATTACGAAAACATTGCAACATATATACAAAAATAAATGAAATAATAAAAATAGGCCCAAAATAGACAAAAAAGGATTAAATAATAAAAAACTACTTTAACAGGATATGTACATCTGAAACAAAGATTATGAATAAACGATGGAAACAAAATATGAAAAATTTTATTTTGGTAGGGAAAATAATTTTATCGTATTTAAAATAGCGAGGAAGAGATCCTGATGTTTATGCGCCCGCCGCCACAAAAACTCACATAAATATGAATCCAGGTGTTGTCTGGCAGTTCCTCTGTGTTTTTTATTTCTCCACTTGGCTGAGCCCCATAATCTTTCGATGTGTTGAGTATGGACTCCACTTGATGGATCAACAAAATTATATGTGTGATTGACCTGAAAATGGTCGTAGTTTGCTTCATTCAGTTGTTTTGTGTTGTATCCTTTCCAACAGTCGGAATAAATCGTGCTTCCCTCTTCTACATTGTTTTTGATAGCTTCTAATAAAGTCCCTGCTCTCCTATCCTTTATTTTAACTATAAAACACTCGTCTGTTTCTCGGCAAACTCCGCCAAACATCCACTGCTGAGGTAAGACTCTCCCCATATGATTTTTTCTTTTCGAAAAAAGACTCTCGTCTACTTCAACGACTTTGCCAGGCCCTCCAATTTTTTTATTCGACCTGTATAACATGTCATGGGCACAAACTTCTCTTAAAAATTTGTTCCATGCTACGACAGTTTGGGTGGATAGTTTGAGCTGCTCTTTCCCCCACTGAATTGTAGTTAAATTATGGGACCACCCATAAATGAATTTTAAAGCCGTCAAAAAAAAATCCTGGACCCCTCTAACCACGTTCCTTTCCTTATAGAAATGGTTTTGTTACACCTACGAGAGCATCTCCATTTAATCTTCCCGTCGAACTTCATTTTACGACCATGACAATAATCACAATATTTCACCTTATCAAATATACCGGCGTCTTGAAAATATTTGATAGCCTCTTCTTCCGAAGACGGCAATTCCCACAATGTGACAACATCCATAATTCCAGTTGAAACAAAACAACACAATATTAACAAAAGAACACAATATAATACTAAACAACACAATAACTTAAAGAATACTAAAGAACAACTAAACTAAAGAACAAGAAAAACTAAAGAACACAATAACTTGAGAAACGAGATTGGGTCGATAAGGGAGGTTATCTGAAACGAGATGGTTATCTGAAACGAGATTAGATAAGAAGGAAGGTTTCGACTCTACCCGCTAACAGAGAAGTACCCGAGATACATACATTAAGGAATTATACATATTGTTTTCAAAAACCTTGATTTTTCCAGTCTAAACTTTGTGGCTGTTTCTATTCTCTCAAGTTGCTGGCTTCTCTCTTGACTGCTTGTCACATCTTCTCTTGGCGGCTCATAATCTTCTCTCTTGCCGCTAGCACCTTCCCTCTTGGCGGCCCGTCGCAGTCTCTCTCACATGAGCTTGCTTCCCCCTCTTCTTCCCTGTAGTTCATCTTCTTGCCACTTTCGCGCCACTATTTATATACCATGTAATGTTGAAATTACAATATATATATATATATATGTATATATATATATATATATATATATATATATATATATATATATATATATATATGAAATGTGGGACTGAGTAAATACACTTTAAATGAACTGACTCACCTGGTTTCTTATTCTTCAGTTGTGAGGCATATAGGACAACTAAATAAAATGGCTTTTCACTCCTGTATAATAATACAATTTATTTTACAACTGTAATAAATAAAAGTATAAAAGTCTTATAACTGTAGGCTTGATATTCTTAGTATTCAATGTAGTAGGCCTCTCTTCTCAGGTGACGTCTTCTCGTCTTCGTGTCCAATCCTCAAGTGGCCTTATTGGCTTCCTTCTGCCAGCTGTTGCTAGCTACCTGCTCTGACCTTTTTCCAGCGTCCTTCTTCATCGATTGTTTATTGATATGAGACATTTCCATGAATAATTTGTCCACTGCATAATTGAGTACAATTCATCACGCAACCTCACATTCCTATATATTATATATTCCTTCTCATTCCCTCCCACAACGTCACATAAAGGAGTAAATACTGGGGAATGTCTACTACAGATCAGACAGTAAAAACTACCAAGGAATCTTACTCTTTCCAACTTGTCAAATCATGGAAGACTTTAGATAAAACCATGCAAGCAATTGATATATATTCCTTCTGAGAAAAATTACTAAAAAAAATTGTACTAAACGGTGTAATTCAATGTAACAATGCCAAGTTCGTAAAAAGTTAAATTTAATATTTATTTAAGCTTAAACATATTCCTATTCCTAATAAAAATTATTTATTACAAATAAATAAGTGACAAATTTAAAATTGATTTGGAAATGCAATATTAATATGTAAATACAGATATTTAGTATGAAAAAGTTTACATATTTACCAGGAATTCATCACGTATGAAGTACTTAGCCCTGACTACAGATGGGTCCTCAGCTGACGATGGAGGAGCCGCATCTCCTGGTGTCTGATAGCCAGCAAATTCCTCAAAATAATCCTCCAACCGAGACTTACCAGCCTTGATTTTTTCGGCAAGTAAGTCCTGCTTGTTTAAAAACAGGATTACTGAGATTGTTCGTAGCCACCTAAACATAAACATCACATAACTGAATAACAAAACTAATGTATCATTAATAACATTCAAGCAGTGAGGTTTGAAAAAATACTCATATAATCAATTTAAATTACAATTACAATTTTCTTTTTTTTAAGGGAAATAGATTTTAACACTGAATTGCTTTTTCTTGGGGTGGTTTAACAATTTTAAAAACCCCTTTCCATCCCATTTGTCTTTGTCTCATTTTTAAGTTAGAACGTTTATGTAAGAGAGAATATAAAAGCCTTAGTCGATTATTTAAGGTAAGACTTTTTTTTTAATGTGTTGTTCCCAGGTCATCCTCCTGTCGAACGTGAGTCCTAAGTAATGAACTGTGTTAGTCTCTTGTATGGGGACATTGTTTATATAAAGTGGAGTGCAGATGTCATGTTGGAGAGTGATGATGATGTGCTGAGATTTGTCACTGTTGAGTTTAATTTTCCATTTTTTAAACCATTCCTGAAATATTTGTAAATAATTTTGTAGGGTCAACGATGCTTGAATGATGTCGACATGTCTGGTGAGAATAGCAGTGTCATCTGCATAGGTTGCAATTAATGTGTTAGGGTAAGTTGGTATATCATTTGTGTATATAATGTACAGTAAGGGTGCAAGAATTGATCCCTGCGGTACTCTTGCCCTTACTGGATATATGGAAGAGGTTTCCGATCCCTGTTGAACAGAGAAAAATCTGTTTGAAAGGAAGGAGAAAAGAATGAGGTAATAGGTAGAAGGAAGAAATGATTTAAGTTTGTCGAGCAGTCCATCGTGTCAAATTCTGTCAAATGCTTGAGCAATATCCAGCAATATGCCAGTAGCGTATGATCTTTTTTCTAGTGCAATTGAAATGAAGTACGTGACTCTGTGAAGTCGATGTATGGTTGAATGTAGTGAACGAAACCTGAATTGGTGGTGTAATGGCACAACATCCCAATTATTTGAGACTTGGCCTGCTCCAGCATGGATCTCCAGTTCTCCCGGTTAGTTGCTGCAGCCTTCCAATTTCTGACACCAAGTAGTCTACATGCATCAGCAGCCACACAGTCTTGCCAGCTCAAACATGGTCTTCCCACTCGTCTGTTTCCAAACACAGGCTCATTCATAGCTCTCTGTGGGGGTGCATTCATATCCATCCATGCGACATGTCCCGCCCAGCGTAGTCTTGCCAGTACGATGAATTGGCTCACATCCAGGTCATTAAACAATGTATTTATTTCCAAATTCGTTCTCCTCCTCCAATTCTGTGGTGTTTCATGGACCCCTCCAAATATGCATTGTATAATCCTCCTTTCAAATCTGAGCAGGGATTTCTCAACTGCTCACAATCAATGTTATTTCGTGCATTTATTAATGAGCCAAGATATACAAATTCGTCAACATTCTCGATTCCACGCTGTTCCAGCCATGCTTGGTTTTCCCTTGTTAGACGTGAGGATAGGGTGGACATATATTTTGTTTTGGACGCGTTGATAATAAGAACGATTTTGGCTGCCGACTCTTTCAGACTTGTAAAAGCTTCCTGTACTGCCGCAAAGGATCTTCCCATTATATCAATGTCGTCCGCATATCCAAGTATTTGGGTCATTTGATTTAGGAGGGTTCCTGTAGTCTGGATACCAGAATCCCTTATGACTTTTTCAAGGGTAAAGTTGAATACCAGACATGCCAGAGCGTCTCCCTGCCTTACACCTGTCGATGTTCTAAACCCTTTTGATAAGTCACCTTGTACTCGTACGAAACACTCATTACCCTCCATTGTCATTCTAACAAGCCTTACAAGTTTTTTAGGTACATTCATTTCTACCATTGCTTTGTATGCTTCCTCACGATTTATGGAATCATATGCTTGCTTGAAATCAATGAAGATGTGATGTGTACCAATTTGATATTCTTTGGTTTTCTCCAGAAGGATTGGCAAGGTGAATATTTGATCGATGGTTGATTTACCCTTAATGAATCCGGCCTGGTATTTTCCGATTTCAGCCTCGGCATAAGAAATGATTCTTCTATAAAGAATCCTTGAAAAGATTTTATAGGCGGTGGGTAGAAGGCATATGCCCCTGTAATTATTACATTGATAGACGTCCCCTTTTTTGTACACTGGGCATATAATGGATTTTTTCCAATCACTTGGAAGATCTTCATCAACCCAAACGGCATGAAACATTTCCTGGAGGAGTTTTATGAGCTCTTGACTACCACGTTTATAGAACTCTGCAGAGATGTTATCAATGCCTGGGGCTCTATTGCTTTTTAGTCCTTCTATGGCTTCATTGATTTCTTCCTCGTCTGGGGGTTCTACGTCTTCACCACCTGTAATTGGATCATTTGCCTCTGAGACATTTGTGCCATTTCTGTTAAGAAGAGTTGAAAAGTATTCAGCCCATCTGTCCGAAATGCCTTGTTTGTCAGTTACTAAGAAGCCATTGTTTGCTCTGCATCCTGTGGTACGGGCGATAAAGGGCTTTCTTCCTTTATTAATAACCTGGAAGAATTCTCTAGTATTTTTAGAGATGAAGGCCTCTTCTATCTCCTGTAGACTCTTATTCTCCCATCGTCTTTTCTTCCTTCTATGGACATGCCTCTCGCGCCTTCTCGTTGCTCTGTATTTCTCGACACAGCTTCATGTGTGCTTCCTTTGCATCATTTTATTGTATGCAATGTTTTTTCTCTTGGTCACTGCACCACATTCGTCATTGAACCACGGTTTATATGTCTGCTTGGTCTTATCTCCTACAACCTCGTTTGCTACTTCCATAAGTGCAGTGCGGCATGAGTTCCATTGTGACTCGAGATTTGATTCTGGGACAGAGTTCCTTAATCTGATATTAAGTTGGTATGAGAATCTAATGCTTGTATCACTGTCCTTAAACTTTTTAATATTGTACCTCTTCAGAGAACGTCGAGGCTGGTACTTCACTGTTGATATCCGATACCTTATTTTTGCAATTATAAGGTAGTGGTCCAAGTCAATGTTAGCCCCTCGTTTTGTGCGAACATCAAGTAATGAGGATTTATATCTGGCGCTGACGACTACATGACTGATCTGAGAGCTTGTAGTGGATCCGTTCTGTCCGAATTTCCTCCATGTTTCTAGATGCACTAACTTGTGCAGGAAATAGGTACTTCCCACAACCAACCCCTTAGAGGCTGCGAAGTTCACCACCCTTTTTCCATTGTCGTTAGAGTTCTCATGAAGGCTATTTCTTCCTATAGTAGGCCTAAATGCTTTCTCTTTTCCAATTTGAGCACTGTAGTCTCCAATCACTATTTTCATATCATGAGCAGGGCAGTCATCAAAGCAATTCTCCAGTTCCTCATAGAATTCGTCTTTCATTTCATCTTCAGACTTCTGTAGGCGCGTGTACACAGATGATGCTGACATTGTGAAACTTTACCTTGATTTGCAAGACACAGAGTCTGGGGCTGATAGGCTTGAAATCTATAACTTGCTGGGTCACTCTTCTTCCCACAATGAATCCAGTCCCAAACGAGTGTAATCGGTCATGACAACTGTAATAAATGGTGTGCTGGCCTTTCCTAAGGCTGCCTTGTCTAGTCCACCTGATCTCTTGGATGGCCGCTATGTCTATTGAATATGTTTTTAAAATGTTTAGGAGCGTTTGTGTAGCTCCGGGTCTATGTAGAGTTAAAACGTTCCATGAAGCCAAAGTGTAGTCCAATTGATGAGCGTTGTGTCGTTTCCTGTTATCGGTCCGGCTAATCTTTTTGGAGCATTCATAATAGAGGTAATTTAAGGGGAACGGGTTATCGGCCCACTGCCCCCGAGTCTGGTGAAGGGGCTGCCTCCTCAGAGCGTCCTGACGTGCCCCCCCATACGGGGCTTCCTAGGGAAGGTGATCCTAGGGTGTGTTCTGTTAGTGACCTTGCGTCAGTGTGAGTGAATTGTGTACTGTCATGTGTGTTTTGCTCAATGTACTGGACCCGGGAGGCCGGAGGAGCGTCAGTCCCCACTAACTGTGTGCTACAGCTAGCCCCTGCGGCTAATATGTTGATTATGCGTCTGTAAAATAATTTTTCAAAATTTTTAGAGCAAATCGGAAGTAGACTGATGGGTCTGTAGGAGGAAGGGCTATTGGGATTTTTTTTTGGTTTTTGTATCAATAGTATTTGTGAAAACTTTCATTGCAATGGGAATTTTGTTGTTCTTAATATGGCGTTGAATAGGGTTGTTAGATATACTATTGCTTTTTGGGGCATATGTTGGAGTAGCTCAGCAGTGATCAGATCATACCCTGGGATTTTCTTTTGGGTAAACTTACGAATCACTTGTAGTACTTCGGATGGAGTGAAAGCCGGAGGAGGTAATGTTAGTGGTAAGGGGATTTCAAGAGAGTTTTGTATATATTTTTCATCTTGATTGTCTGGGTAGTCTGTATGGGGTATGAAGACAGATGATAGATGATCAGCAAAGAGTTCAGCCTTTTCATTGTCAGACACAACCCAAGAACAAACTATCCTCTTTTTGTAGCGCAGGCACCTCGTGATGCTTTATTAGCTTTTGAGTTTGTCTCCATAAGCTTCCATCATCAGTGCTGGGGTTATTTATAAAAGTATCATAGCTAGTTTGTTTGAATTTTTTTATTTGTTGTTTTAGTTCATTATTTATTCGGTTATATGTCTGTTTATCAGATGGTAGTCTGTCAGTCGGCCATACCTTTCGAGCTCTTCTCTTGGCTCTGATTAAATCCCTTACATACTGTGGGTAGTTTGGCTGGTTATTTATTTGTTTATGTTTCGGAATTGATGAGATCCATGCAGATTCCTGGATTTTCTTTGTCAATACTTCGACGGCTTCTTCGATCTCATTTTTATTTTTTAGTGAAAGAGGAACTGAAAATTGCTGATTTAAGTTAGCTTGAAAACAATTCCAATCTATGTATCCTTGAATAAGTGACAGGCGTTCTTCTTTTTGACATAGAAGGGAATGATCAGGGCATAGATCACAGCTAGATTTAACTGTGTATGGTATGGCCTGTAGTCCTTTAGTAATGAAGAAGTCCAGTAGGTCAGGTGATTTTAGTCTCGATGTAGGCCAATAAGTTGGAGTATTTGGTGATATAGTGTTTAACGAAAGTTTATGGAGTGCAACCCAAAGATTTCTACCTTTTGGAGAGCACAGTCATGAACCGCATAGCTGGTGCTTGACATTGTAGTTGCCACCAGCAATGAAACACCTTCCCAGTTGTTCAAAGAAAGTACATAACATATCGGATGTCAGCGAGTATCGAGGGGGACAGTATACTGCTGCTAATGTTATGGAGTGCAATGTTGTGTGCAGTGTTATAGCAGTAGCTTGTATGTCTGGTATTTTCGGCAAATGTATAGGATGATGTTTGAGTGATGTTTTGACAATGATGGCAGTTCCGTCATGTGAAGTGTTGTCTGGGTGATCTGTCCTACAAATTGTGTAATCTGGAATATTTACTTTATTTCGAGAAGTGAGGTGTGTTTCAGTTATCAAAGCAATGTCAGTTCGTTTTTCATGTAAGTATATATCCATTTCGGTTTTATTTTTGAGAAGTCCATTTGTATTCCATAGAAGGATGGATAGAGAACCTACAGTTAAGCTTTTGTGGACCATAAATAGGACAGTAGGCTTGTGTTACTTGTAAGAGTTGTTGAAGTAGACTGAAAAGAGGCTGTATATTATTTAAACCTTTTAATAATTAGTCAAGTTGAGAAGAAACATTTTCAGCAGAAAGTACTGGCTGAGCAATGCCCTATTTCATACCTAACATGCTTATATTTTTTTGATATCTTCCTTCTTTAATGGTAGCAGAGTGTCGAGGCCCCTACTGCTGTGGTCCAATCGCTGGTCCTCTTTGAGAAGGCTGGGGTTGTTGCTGATGTGGCAGTGCAGGGAAGTCTTGTAGACCCATTGGGGGAGCAGTGGGTTGGGGCCTAGGATGATATTGTGATCTCAAAGTTTTTAGTTTTCTGAGTTCTTTTAAGATTTAAAATCCTCTATAGTTTGCTGGATGTGCTCCTTGGCAGTTGGCACAATTAGCAGATGTATCTCTAGATTTCACGTATGTAGAGCTTTCATGTTTTTGACCACACATGGGTGCATGATTGCAGTAGGTCTTAGTATGATACTGGGGTATCATCTTCTTCTTCCCCGGTTCTTCAATAGTCAACCACCCAAGTGTAATATATACTATTTATTTGAAAAATATTTTCATTGAAGGTTTGTTTTGTGATATCCACAAAAAACATGGCTCTTTGTACCGTGATAGTACATTGGTTACATTTATTGCTTCATAACCAAAAGACTTTACGTTCTTCAATAATAGCTGATTTTGGGGTTGAGTAATGTAGATTTTTTATTACTACTCGTGGACATCTATCCTCAGGTAGCTGAAATGCGTGAAAGTCAGCACCATGTTTTCTGAGAGCATGCACTATTTCTCGATAAGAGCCTGAGTTGTTCAGATAAATATAAATTTTTCTTACATTGGATTTTAATTTAAAAGTTGTACCACAGACATTTTGGATAAATTCTATGAATGCAAGGTAATTTTCGACACCACTTACATAAATAGGCGGTGGGTTGTCAACAATTACCTTATGGTCAGCTTGTTGTGGTCGAGCTTCTTCATTGTTGCTTAATAATTGAAACCTGTTGTGTGTTGATGTAGGTGCTGCAGTAGTGGTTCTCTTTAGTTTTCGTGGGTCTCTCTCCACATCAGAACGATGCTTACGGCCTGTCACAGTTTCCCAGAAACCTTGTTCATTTTGAGAAACTGAATTTTCTTCACTTGTAGTCTCTGTAGCCTCCATTACAATAACTTTGTCCGCTAAAACCAATTTCCTTGTTTTAGTTTTATATGTACATATGTCCTTTCCTTATCACTTTTCACTAGTTAACCAGCATTTTAAAACATAATAACACATATTAAAACACTTTCTAAAACAGCTAACATTTTTCACAGTGTTTACAGTAGAACCAGGTTATAACATCCTTCCACTATATTTAAATCTCTAATTTTCAACTTGTGCCATGAATCCCAGGAGATTGCACATTCTCAACCTGGAGACCCGAAAAGCGGAATAATTTACCTCTGGATAATGAGAGTTTTACCTTAGGGGATATCCATGAGTGTTTTTGGTAGTTTGTGAACTAAAAGTAAGTGAGTAGGGCATTCAATCCTTAGCAACACTCTTAAGCAAGCATGGAGGACTGCTTTCATTGTCAGCCAGTGAGTCCATTGGACTTAGCTGGGAGGAATTTCCGAAGAATTACCACCAACCATCCACACATCCATGAGGGAATCCATCTGAACACTAAGTGAAGTTTAGGTATTTAGGATCTAAGATAACTAGAAAAAACAAAATTGAAGAAGTTAAAGGTAGGTTGAAGATGGAAAATGTTTGCTATTTTTCTGTTGCAAAACTATTTAGCTGACGCCTCCTCTCTCGAAACTTAAAATTATAGTTTACAAAACCATTATCTTTCCTAAGGTTTTGTATGGATGTGAAGTAAATGGCTGTTTACATTAAGGATCGGGCAACATCTTAAGGTTTTTGAGCTGTAAAGTATTCCATACTCTAAATATTCGGACCAAAGAAGAATGAGTTAACTGTAGAATTTAGATGGTTACACAACACTGAATTGCGTGAACTGTATCATGTTAATATAATTGAGATGATTACATTGTGGCGAATAAAATGGGCGTGTAAAATTGTTGAGCTTAGTAATGAAAGAATATGCTCCTTTAATAATTGAAATCTTTTTTAATTAATAGAAGAAAATTGTCTTGGCCAATACAATACAGGTGCCACTATAACCCTTTTGGATGAGTCATATCCAGCGTTTTGCTTAACCCAGCCAGTAGGAGTACTATAACAGGTGTCATGTGAGTACAGAACCTGATTGTGAGTTCGTTCTCAGAAATTCACCTATTTTAATTTATCTACACCACAGCCCATGTTTACAATAGTAAAATATCTCCTTTCTTGTGTTTATTACTATTTAGCTTTGATCTCCACCCTTTAACCAATACTCACATCAATTTACTTAACTGAGTAAACCTTAATTTCATAATGTTATATAATTATATTATTTCATCTACCTGCAGTTTTCCTACAAAAGACCAGCAATTACTTATACAGCTGATTTAATCACTGTTTCACCAGTCCTACGAATCCCTACAGCCTCCCTGTCATACCTCTCACATCAGCTTCCTAACTTCTTCTAGTAGTGCCAGATGAAGTTGTATGTTTGGTTTTTATCATTACTTTTAATGTACCTATTCTTTAACTCTATACCATGTTATACTCTTCCAATATCCTAATATTCTATTACTGCTTTAAAAAACTGAATGTCAATTGTCCCTGATGAAGACCTATAACGTAGATTGAAACATTGGCAAATGAAATAAAATACTATTATAATAAATAGTAATATTTATTCACTCTATTCCTGACCAACTTCTTAAAATAATTCTTTATATACTTGGAATCCTTCCCTACAGTCAAAAGCTGCTTGAGTGCAATGTAATTTTTGGATGGTAAATGACCTTTATCGAGACAGGTAATTGATTGGTTCCAATTAATTTTTTTGTTTCCATAGAATCTGTATTAAAATACCCTGAAAGAAGATTTCAGAAATGTTCATTTATATAGCCACCAATTTTTTGATAGTTCGTTGTAAGTATTTCATGCATGCATGGTTTTTCAACCAGTAATTTTGGATTCTATCACTGCCAGGAGCTTTCCAATGTTTTATTTTCTTTGTTGCAATGGCTATATCTTCCTTTGATCTGCCAAAGGAAGATTTAGTCTACCTGGAATTTTGTCCGACAGTTCATTCCAACATTCAATTTCATCATTGAGTAAAACATAGTGCTCCCAAACCTTTTTCCAATAATTGATTTCATTATTCTTTTATTTGTATTATTATTATTTATTTTATTATTAATTATATTGATTTTATTTTATTATTTTTATTTATGACTATCTATAACGGAGTAGTACTGGGTATCCTGATGTATACACCCCTCCTCCAGTTGGAATCCAAACCTCACACAAATACAGAACAGAAGATCGGTGAAAATCCAGAAAATGGCTCTGTTGTAACTAACCAAATCCTACAAAACAGTTCCTCATAAAGCGGTGCCTCCTGCAGGAAGGATTGCGGCAGACCCATCTATATCGAAAATAACATGGGCAGACACCATTGAGAAGTGGAATCGAAGATGGGTAACTACTCATAAAGGCTCTCCCCTAATAATGACTTTATCAGTATTCTTATTATTAACTTAAGCCTAAAATGATCTACAATGTTTAATAATAAAAATGATTTGGTAATTAACAATCTGAAGGTCGCTAGCCTTTGAGTCACATGGAAGGTCACTACGGATCTGTAAGATCTGCTTCACTAAATCAATTTATTGATCAAAAATACCAACAAATTTCACATTGTACTGAAAGAAAAAGATATAAGATGAGTTTTTAAATATATTTATTGAATAAAAAACTCAATTACATAACTTAAGAAAATATATTAAAATTCAATATGAAAAATACATTGAAAAAATTAGGAACTTTAACATTAAATTCTGTATACCATTAAATACAACAACAAAAATCACTGAACGCTGGGAATAATTATATAAGAATTAAATTATATTAATAAATAATTAATACAAAAATCAAGAAAATTTATAACAACATTAGGAAATATCCTCAAGGTTAATTAAGTCGAATGTTTTTTTTTTACGCGATTTTGTCTGTACAATACATAATGGAGAAATTAATCAGTCAAAGAAGTTAATTTGGATTGAAAGTTGGCAGAAAGTGAGAAAAAAAAAAGATAAATGTCGAGAAAAATAAATATAACATAAAAGGTCGCATTGGATATAAGAGATTTAATGCCTCTATTTTATAAACAAATAAAGTGACAGTGAAAGTGACTGCACAAAAACAATAAACAAACACAGTATATAATATTGTGTTTGTTAAATGTTTAAAAAAATAATATTAAAAAAGGAAACAAAAATAAAATACGACAAATAGAAAATACTTATATATTAGGTCGCTAGGGATCTTACAGATCCAACCTAAGTTTTACTATAAAAATTGAATGTAACACAGGTCACTCCAATACCAGACTGTATGAGTCCAAGAGCCAGGAGAATACCTGGAGGAAGGATCCACTATTCCCAACAGGTAAATAAACACATCAAAAAGACCACTCAGAGGATCTCTCAGATCAGGTGCGACCTTCCTAGTGTTAAGACATATACTCACCTGTTGTTCCATATACTTCTAAATAGGTCCAAGCTTTCCCTAAGTCGGTTCTGGGTAGGGTCTTCTCTCAGCACCATATTATAGGATGAACATGCTGTGACAAATATAATGGCAGTAACATCATTGAAGCATTGGATCCACTTTCTACGCTCATCTCTTTGTCCACCAACATCAAACATACTGTAAAGAATCAGAATAGATAAGGTATGATAAAAAAGAATATGAATAGAAATATAAGGTTTATCATACATTTTACATAGATATCGAGTAATTATGCATAGTAAATACAGACCATTTCCAAAATAATTTTTTGTAAAAGACTTTTAGAATTTTTAAAAATTAAAACAATAAATAATTTATAATTGTAATAACAGGTGCACTAAAAATTAACTGTACTAACCAAATTTAGATTAATACAAACACATTGATAATAGTTAGGTTAAAGAACAGAGAGATTGAACAAGTAGTATATCATAGAAGGATTTGATAATTTTAACTTCTCCAAAAAGTTTTAATAATAAGTAAAATTTCAACTTTTAAGTATGCTAAATCTAGTTAAATATGAGTATGAAAATAAAAATTTCTGCACCTTATCTTTTAGGTTTTTTAAGAAGTAAAACCAAATTGAATTAACCTCAACTAGAGCTCATATATAAATAATACATTTTGCATATTTTTTGAGTGCTCAGTGTATTATAACATTAATCTACAATGTTACAAGTGAGTATGGGCAATGATATGATCAGTTCATGACTCATGACATAATCGCATCAGTATTTATGATATCAAAACTAAGCAATGCACCTTCCAATATATATCAACATATATTTTAAAATAATAATTAATAAGTAATAATTATAATCTAAACCCTTAATAATAATTAAGAGTTTAGAATGATAGCATATTAAGTCAATTTTGCTTATTGTTTGGAAAGAGAATACTTGATAAATGTGTGTTATAGATAAATGGATAGAAAATAAACTTTATTCTATGTTTTAATTAAAAAAAAAACCATATCTGGCCAAAAATTACATTAATAAAAATATAAAATAACTTCAGTGTCAATATATTAGCAACAAAAAGTAAAAACATTTTGAGAAAAAAAATGAGATGAAAAGAAAATAAAAAATTAGGAAAAATAAAAATAAAATTTTATAAACAATCAGTAGATTCTTAAAACTAAAACTTAAACAATTTAATAAATCTTTACTTCAATTGAAATTTGATTCATGAGATACATGATTTTGTTTATACAATAGTTTATTGTAGAGTGTCATTTTGGGATGTGAAAAGAAATTGGTAAAGAAAGTATTTGAATGAGAACAATGAAGAGGCATGGCAAATTTCAGATGGCAAGGAATTCCAAAAGGCGGTGCATCGAACAATGTTAAAATGTTCTAGTTATTTGGGAAGGAGTATAAAGGTTCAAGACATGGGATCTAGTATAAGGGTGCTGGGAGTTGATCGTTTAGAATAGGAAAGATCCAAGAAAATATTGTCAGCAGAAAGAAGGAAAGAGCCATTTTAAC